TGCAGTCTGCTTTTCATCCAAAGAGCATTCATGCCATTGCTTCACTTTCCTCGTTCATGTAATTAGACCGCACTGTTTTAATTATATGATAATCTGTTCGGAAGTGTCTTGCAAGAAATGTCTCAATAACATAATTTTGGACAGAAGGAAGGATTTGTACTTCAAGTCGAGGTATCTCATTTCCTCAAAGTAACTAAGGTCTTATATGCCACGCTGAAAGTTGTGCTACGCGTGCACTTAGTGCCATAATATAGCTTGATCAAAAGTCTGGCTCGCATATACAACCAATCCAAATGTAGTAGTGGATAATGCACAACTCTATTTCGTAATATGAAAGTCTGTCTCCAACGCAATCATTCTGGAATTCGAAATTTCATATAGTCAGTTTAATTTTTTTACAATTCAAACTGCACGTACCATTTTGAAAAGCTTAAGTCGTATCTGACAACAGCGGTGCATTGTTTGCCGAGATAGGCATTCGACCAAAACGACGATTGGTAATTACACTTTGAAGGAGAAAATGACGATTTTGATTTGGTCAATTATTTCCTGAATTGTTCTTCATTTTTGAATTTGGTTAATGAAGTGTTAATTAGAGGACAAAAAATGCTTTAGTGTGTTGAAAAGGAAAAATTGGCTCAAACAACATATTAATGAGTGCTGATTTAGAGTACTTTGCGCATGTTCATTTTCTACAGCTACTGACCTATTTTCGGTTGATATGCCATGTGAACTCATACAGTTAAGAGAGGGTTTATCCATTTGAACCGACACACCTGGGGTCTCACTAGCTTACTCGTCCATGAATTTGTAAATTGCACACACTTCCTCCTTTCTGGACTGGCTTCAGTCAGTGTCTCTCATAACTCTAATGATCGTGTAGTCTCCACACTACAGTATAGGTGTTCTCCCTTGAGAGGTGGTTTTATTTTTAGCGCAAACATTTGCATCCTTAAGACATGCTGCTTAGTTGTTAACTAAAATATTATCGCTTAATTTGTATGTTCCCTCCACTTAAAAATGGATTTTATTGCATGGCTTCAACTTTCGTCCCAAAGTTACGAGGGTTTTTATAATTCGGCTTAACAAAGAAAGTGGTGGCAAACCTTCGTCTCTCCTTGTACTACGTCAATCCCCAGCACGAGGCTGCGGATGGTTACTGCGACCGATCTTTCAACGATAACTGGTGTGACACCTACTTCATCATTTGTGTTACTTCTTCGAATTCGTATGTTCATTCTTGAGTCCTATTTTTGTTAATTCTGGTCTGTGTAATACGCAATCATGATACTGGAATTAAAATTAGTTCTAGTAATTTGGCATGTATAAGTCCATTTTATTGTTCTAATCTTGAATGAGGCTCTTAAAACAATCAACAAGCATTTACAATACTTAGCAAGGTATTTCCAAAGTTCTGGGTAAATGAGAGCTTGGGGAAGGATAACATTTTTATGCGAACCTTCTGAACACGCAGTGTGCAACGTGGTTTAGATATTCCCACCTTTTACACAAAATAATCCTTCTAAATTTGTAAGCCTATTTAAATTGCCATTCCAATTTCCTTAAAAGCGACTAACGTTGATAAGATGAGCGACGTTTGGAACGCTAATTTCCCTGCTTTAATTTGTACCTTGATCTAGCGCCAGTGCTGTGGACTTTGCTTCACCTGAAATTGTGCATATTCCGATTCCTCAAATGTTCCTGGTTTTCTGAAACAGCGAAGTAACGTATTAGTGTATGTCTAGCGTGCGTTGTATGTGTGAAGTTTCGGATGTGGCATCCTGAGACTTCCCATTCGATGGTAGAAGGTGTTGGAAGTGGTAGAATGCTCGTATCCAGAGGAGGAGGGCGGGGAGATAGACGTGGTGCTTTGGCTTAGCCCAAAGTCCTGCCCACCTACAGAAGCTGGAGACACATTGCAAAAATGAGCTAATGAAAGTATTATGCGTGTTAGATGTCACGAGAACTACGTGCTCTTTCAGTAACTCCTTGTAACTAAGTTATTAGCCTACTTAGTGGCTTTATTGAAGCTTACAGAGGCGGTCGTTTGTAACAAATATTATATTTTGCGAAGAATAATCGAATTTTATAGGTGGGCATTCAGTCTTTGGTGGACTATGGCAATAAGTAAGGATAATTAAAAAACCTTCTGTCAAGAGTAGAACTAAAACTTCTTTATTCCTTTTTAAGGACACTAACGTTATGATGTAAAGATAGTAACTTTTTGGGACATTTTTTTACAAGATCTTCGGACTGCAATCTTTACTCAACTACGACGGAAACTCATTACGACAAATCGCATGTGAAATATGTGGGGAACGAAGCGTTTCGAATCCCTCTGAGGTACCCTATTCCAGTAAGCCTTAATATTTAACTTAAAATGTGTTACATGAAATTATCGACTGAATCATCACTAGTCGTTGCATAATTGGCCTATAAAATTCCCGTCTACGGAGAGGAATCACTGCAGCATTAAAATGCATATCCAAGCCAACACTCGTTAACGCTTCTACCACCTTTCACACGACTTGTATTTCTGATTTTATTGACAGGAAAGCATTAAAATTGCGATAGCAGCATACGACAGCGATCGCTTCACATCTCATGACCTCATTGCTAACTTTGAGAACCATGTTGCGGAAGTTCCGATTCCAAATACCGTCGTAAGCGCTGATCTCGTTAAGACAGAAAACACGGGACACAATGAACACGTAAAGTAGGTGTCCATGGCTCTTCACTCTGCACCTATTAAAGCATTTGGACTTTAAAAATATTCAGTTAGAAAGTGCATTATTTTAGCTGTGGATAAGGATGCATTGCGAATGGAACGTAAGAGGTTTAAAAAGTCTTTCCCTGTTGTTTGAGCGAGGGAGATCGAATCACAATGGGGTTATTAAAATAAGAATGTAATCTCGTTTGGCCGAATAAATTGTTTTGCAGGGAACACTTCTTCTGCAAAAGGATGGACGTCATCGCCTTTTTGTTGAACTCATTCAAGAATACGCGAGTACCTCATAAGCACTGCCACAGTGGCTTAACCCTTCACTTTCAATGATCTCGAGCTGCAACTTGCATAGATGGTTGATGAATGCATGTGTAGGGCTGCAATCCTTTTCTCTAAATAGATGAGATTCAGTTTTAAAGATTGTTTCCTGTTCCATAGTATCACAGCACTTTTGGCACTGGAGTGCATAGAAGGCTTCTATGGAGAAAAATGCTCGATTGAATGTTTTCCAGAGAAATATCCCAGTATGTTGGGGTGCCACGAAAATGGAACAAGCATATGCCTTCCTGGTAAGCAGTTGGACTATAGTAATAACGGTGCCAACAACACCACCAACTTTGTAGGAGAGTCGTAAAGTGGATTAATGAATGGTCTACTTAAATCGCTTTTATTTCGACATGAAATTAGAAGCAGTATTTCTTTAACGAAAGGAAATAGAAATTTTGATTTTCACCCAACAGTTCCATAACCTGCCATATTCAGCAATTCAGGTGAGTCCTCTGTGTAGCTATTAAATCAGGCTGCCGGAGGGTAGATTGGCCCTTAAATAAGGAATTGTGACAAAATTTTGCAAGAGTTTAAGATGCCAACACAATAGTGGTGCATGGATTCGCAAGCCTTCAGCCTTAAGGATGATGCTGGTCACTGATGTTGTTATTGACTTAAAGGCACTGGAATGATCCCCATAGCTGCACACCTAACCATACCCTAAACCAAATATTTTTAGAGCAGTTTGGCAGCAACTGAAAATGCCATTGCGAGAGCGTTCACTCGTTGACGTGACGTGACGGTTTTTTAACAACACGGTTGTTGGCGTATTGCAGAGTACATTAAGGGAGAGACAAAACCTGCCATTCTTGTGTTCATGTTAAACAGGCTTTCGTGGACAATTTTGTGAGAAACCAGACGCTTGTTTCTACAAGCCGTGTGTTATGGGAGCGGAGTGTGTGAACGCAGATACTCCAACCGGTTACAAGTGCATTTGTGAGGGAAGTGAAGGTGCGTTTGTACCAAACCGTTGAAGTGTAATAACGCGTGTGCATAGGAAAGCACAGATTCCTTCTGATTGTCTAGGTAACCAAATATTCACCACAAACAAAGCCAAACATGGCTTGCTTAGAAGTTCTATTTCATTTGTAAGGTCATGCTCCAGTTGCAGGATTAATTGCGTCCAATGTCGTTTTGAGTTGCACAATTTCTCTCTGCAGAATTTACTAAAGTTGGTTTGTTTACGACTCTCTAGTTGCACTATCTGACCGACCCTCTCCATTCTCCATTTGGAGCGACAATAGTTTAGACAGTGGCATTTTGTTTCCACTATGTTAGGTGCACATTGCTATGCCGGCTACAATCCTTGCGTCCCATCTCCATGCAAAAATCAGGGCCAATGTGTTAGGACTGGCGAAAAGCACGACACATTCACTTGCAATTGTCCAATTCAGTGGACTGGTAAATTATGTCACGTGCAACGATCGCCGTGTGAAGTGGCCAGTCAAAAATTGGCTAATGCAGACCTTCAAGACCTCTTTGGAATGCACAAGAAGGACAACTATACCTCCGTTAACGACACCAGCACTATTAGGTCCGTCAATGTCTGCAAAAATGGCGGAATCTGTGTGGATCTAATGGAGGACTTTAAGTTCATTTGCAACTGCACTAGTGGTTGGAAAGGAGAATTGTGCACAATTCCAGATGTAAAGCTCTTTTAAAATATGCATGCATGCATTACTTTTATCCCAAGTCCTATCTTCCCTTAGCCCAAGATTATACTTGCTGCAAAATTAGCCCTACTCTTTAGGTGTGAGCATGACGAATCATTGAATTGAACTAAATTCCACCCTAAAGAGAAGCATACCGACTTATGGTCTTGATGTGATGCCATTATAGGTTCCAAGCAGTATTTAAAATGCCAACGCTCAAACAAATGAAACTGCAGAATGATTTGCAAACGGTCATTGGATGCACACTATTAGACTAGTGAATGTATTGAATCCTCAAACATGGAGACAGCAGTTCATTACGCGGTTTTGCAATAAATTACGGATTAGATTCATCCGACACTAACACAAAATTTGACATTTTTAGTGGACCAACGCAATTATCGCAGGATGTGTTGTATCGGGGTTGGTTGTGATACTTCTCTGTGCAGTTGTTCCCTGCTGTCTGCGACTGCGAGTGCTCCGTCAAAAGTAAAAACTAACTTCTATACTAGTTTACCTTCAAGCTATCCCAACGCATTACACGTGTGCTGACATTTTGTGTATTAGAAAACCGAAGATTCCCATCGAACCACTCGTCTACGGTCATGGTGATGCAAAGGGTCCAGTTACTGAGCGCATTCCCTTCAAAGATGTTTTCTACAATTCCGTTATAATGAGTGATACAATGGATTCACAAAATGCTGACAACACTCAACAGTTCTACGAATATTGCACGGTTACGTCTCCTTCATCAAGGGAAGGTGATCTAAGCATTTCCACTTCAAATGATTACGAAATTTCTATAGAGGACAAACCACCGCCAGAGCTGCCTATTCGTCCAGACAGTCTGGCGCCTCTACCAAAGTCGTATAATACTTTGATATGTCAGGACCGCGATTCGCTTCCATCCTCGCGGTCTGAGTCAGTGTACAGCCGACAGCCGCTCTTGACTCCACGAACTTCGAGCTTTTTGACTCCAATGGAGGGGGAGGAACATGACTCGCAGAACCCCAACGTTCTTCCAAAACGCTCCGTTGAGAATGACGAGTCAACGCTGACAAAGCTACTCCGTATTGCAAAGAAGTAAAACCGGTCGCTATGACAAACGCATTCAATTTCATTTCCCTATTTTAGAATCACTACTCTTTGTCTTGATTTTTTATGGATGATTGGTTGAAATGAATATTATGTCTCTAACAAATGGTGCCATCGCAAATACATTTTACAGAATTTCAATCTGAACTTTAATAACATTCCTTTTGCATGCAGTCACTAGTCGAATTGTATATCTATTTTATTATAGTCGATACAGGGTAAAGTTTTGGGCGCAAGAACACTTACAAAGGTCACTCAATCCCTAAGTACTACGGCTGCATAGGCGATGCGAAAAGTACTTAAAAATTGATACGATAATCGTAAATACTCTTCTATAGGGTTGCTCTTGATGCATTAAACGACACAAAAATTCACATACAACGAATGAGAAAACAAACAAATGCTGAGGCGTCTTTAGACGGACACGTTTCTAAGTGACTTCGATTCGATAAAACCACTGAAGGGTTGGCATTACTA